GTAGCCATTTTATTTGTAAAAATTTTGAAAATTTATGCTTTGTTTAAAATCATCTTGTATTTTTATTATTAATAATAGAAAAATAAAATTTGAAAAGATGATAAAGAAGGCTTTAGTCCATCGTTTGATGGTTTTTATTATACAGGGTGTTAACTAAAAATGAACAAATTGAGAAGTTTTCAAACAACCATAATTTTTTACTTTTTAATAATCGGTATTTTACTTTTTTCACATTCTCATTTATAAAATTTTTGGATTTCGATAGCGACGTTGTCAAGTTATTGGCTTTTTTTACAAAATTTTGAAAATACATAATTTTTTTATTGTTAATTACCTTTTATATTTTTTATATTTTTATTTTATATCCTTAATTGTCTTTCTAGATATTATAAAATACATTTCCACTTTTTGGTTTGGTTGCAACGTTGCCATTTTATTTGAAAAATTTGGAAAATAAATGTTTTGTTTAAAAATCATCTAGCATTTTTATTAACAATAAAAAAATAAAATTTGACATGATAGTTAAGAAGGCTTTGCTCCATCGTTTGATCTAATTTTTATTGTTTTTATTATACAGGGTGCTACTATACAGGGTCTTTTTATTAACAACCCGTATATTACTTTCTTTACATTCCCATTCATTTTACTAAATTATATAAAAACATGTTATATTTTTGGATTTTTACTGCAACGTTGCCAAGTTGATTTTTTTACAAAACTTTGTAAATACATTATTTGTCTTATTTTTTATTTTCTTTTATACTTTTTATATTGTTATTTGTTTTCCTACATACTATAAAATATATTTTCTATTTTCTGATTTGGTCACAACGTTGCCATTTTATTCGAAAAAATTTTAAAAATTCATATTTTGTTTTAAAATCATGTAGCATTTTTATCATTAACAACAGAAAAGTAAAATTTGACGTAATACTTTATCGTTTAATGTAATTTTCATTGTTTTTATAACACAGGGTGCTAACTAAAAATGAACAAATTATGCAGTTTTCAAACTACATATCATAATTTTAGTCTTTTTAACAACATCCTGTATATTATTTTCTCTACATTTTCATTCGTTTTACTAAATATTATAAACGCTTTTTATATTTGTGGATTTTGACTGCGACGTTTCCAAGTTATTGACTTTTTTGAAATTTATTATTTTTTATTTTTCTTTTATATTTTTATATTTTTATTTAATATCCTTAATTGTTTTTCTACATACTATAATTTCCACTTTTTGGTTTGGTTGCAACGTTGCCATTTTATTTGTAAAAATTTTGAATATTTATGATTTGTTTAAAATTATCTTGTATTTTTATTATTAATAATATGTAGAAAAATATATGTAGAAAAATAAAATTTGAAAAGATGGTAAAGAAGGCTTTGGTCCATCGCTTGATGTAGTATTCATTGTTTTTATAATACAGTGTGTTAACTAAAAATTAACAAATTGAGTAGTTTTCAAACAACGATAATTTATTACTTTTTAATAACCTGTGTTTTAATTTTTTCACATTCTAATTTATTAAATTTTTGGATTTTGATTGCGACGTTGACGAAGTTATTGAGTTTTTTTTACAAAATTTTGAAAACACATTATTTATTTTTTTAATTTTTATTTTCTTTCATGTTTTTTATATTTTTATTTTATATTTTTAATTGTCTTTCTACATACTAAAAAATACATTTTTACTTTTTGGTTTGGTTGCAACGTTGCCATTTTATTTGTGAAAATTTGAAAAATGCATGCTTTGTTTTAAAATCATCTAGAATTTTTTTCATTAACAATAGAAAAATAAAATTTGACAAGATGGTAAAAAAGACTTTGGTCCATCGTTTGATGTACCTAATATTTATTGTTTTTATTATACAGGGTGATAACTAAAAATGAACAAATTGAACAGTTTTCAAACAACCATAATTTTTTACTTTTTAATAACCGGTATTTTACTTTTTTCACATTCTTATTTATTAAAATTTGGATTTTCCTTGCGACGTTGTCAAATTACTGACTTTTTTTACAAAATTTTGAAAATACATTATTAGTTTTGTTTTTTTTTTAATATTTTCTTTTGTATTTTTGCTATATATTTTTAATTGTCTTTTTACATACTTTAAAATACATTAATATTTTTTGCTTTGGTTGCAACGTTGCCATTTTATTTGTAAAAATTTGGGAATTTTTTGCTTTGTTTTAAAATCATCTATTAACAATAAAAAAATAAAATTTGACAAGATGGTAAAGAAGGCTTCGCTCCATCGTTCAATGTAATTATACAGGGTGTTTTTTTCTTTTTTAATAACCTGTATTTAATTTTTTTCACTTTCTTATTTAATTTTTTTTTGGATGTCGGTTGACTTTTTTTACAAAATCTTGAAAAAAATGGTCTGTTTTTATTTTTTTTCAGAATGTTTTCACGAGGACAAAGTTTACGCAAATGGCGAACGCCTGAATTCCTCAGCAGGAAACGAGTGCAAAGTGTGCTATTGTCGAGGGGGCGAAATCCAGTGCACCCAAGTCTCCTGCTACACTCGGCGGGACTGCGAGGCCAAAACGGTCCCCGGCCAGTGTTGCCCCAAATACGACCATTGCCCACCGCTTGAAAACCGCGAGAAGATCACAATCCAGGAGATAATCCCTGAAAAACCTGAAAACTCCACAAACGAAGTCGGCGATTCAGAGGCCGAATCGAGCGAAATCTCGGAAGTTTTTCAGCAGCCCCCTTCAGTTCTGCGCATCGGAGACAAGCTTCTCTTCCTGAAAAAGGGCGAATTGGTCCCTGAAAAAAACATAACGACGCCGGCGTCGGTCATCACAGTCATCGGGGCCGAAGGCCTAGAACGCGGGACTGAAGAAAGCGCTGAAACTGAAACGGCCGATTCCGGGGAATCCCACATTCTCTCACTGGTGAAAAAACCGACTGAAACGGACATTGAGGTGTACACTGAAAGGGAACTCGAGACGGAAAGTGTGACTTACGACACTTTATTGAAGGAAAGTCCCACTTACCGGCCTGATGTTGAAACCACGACAAATCGGGAGGAATATGCCACTTTCGCGCTCGATTCGCGTGAGAGTCTCGAGGAGGCGGCTGAAGGGGCTGAAAACGCCAGTGTTGAAGCTGAAACCACTCTGAATCCGCTGAAACAGGACGTGGAGTTGATCAACACGACGAAAATCAAACGCGAATCTGAATCCGAATCCGTTTTCAGGGAATTGGAGTCGGAATTGAACTCCACTGAACGCGTCCAAAGCGAGGAAGAGGCCAAAAACGAGTCCGAGAGGATTTTCAAAGAGCTTTTGGACGAGACTAGCACTCCGAAAACAAGGAGTAAAAATGAGAATTTGGACCGGATTACTGATGCCATCGCCAAATTGACGCTGAAAGGCAAGAAGGGGGCTTTCGAGCCCCAATCTTCGAATGTTTTAGGTTTGTTGTCGAATTTTTTCACTGGGAAAAAATAATGTATGTTGCCATTGTGTGTTTGTTACATATCATCATTAGTGAAGCGTCATTATGACTTTTCTAAAGTGTTTATTTATTAATCATGCATTTTAATGTTAGTTGTGTTAATTTATGTAATTATTATGAGAAATAAATGTTTTATTATGAAGTAAACGGGTTTAGTTTTTGTCGTGTATTGTTGGTTGCATATGTGTGATACAAGAATTGCAACCATTTTTATTTTTAATCAAAAATAAATGCAAAATTTTTGATTTCTAGATAAATTTTTTTATATTTTTGCGTTTTTTGATTTTTTTAAATTATTCTACAGCTTAAATTCATGTATTTCGTAAAAAAAAATTATAGAATTTTTTATTTTATGGAATTTTTATTTTATCTAGTTATAATTATTTTTTTATTTTTTGAATTTTAAAAATTCTTGCTTTTTGGGTTTTAAGTTTCTTCCATTTTTTTACTTTATTTTCTCGATTACTGGACTCTAAATGTTCAGAATTCATTGATCTTGGGATTTTTAATTTTTGAATATAAATTTTTTGTACTCTTAGAATCTCAAACTTTTAGTTTTTTAAATTCCTATAAAAATATATTTTTTAATGTCTTGTTTCTATCAGACATAGATTCTATGAATTTTTGAAATTTCTGAATTTGTTAATTCTCAGACTTGATGTTTTATTTTTTAATTTTTGAAATTTGCTTGAACAAAAAAAATTGTCATTCTTAGAATTCCTAAATTCTCTAACTTCTGGATTCGACAAATGAAATTTCTAAATTCTTCCAATTTCTGACAGCTTGAATTTTGAAAATTAATGAAATTTTCATATATTTAAGAATCTTGGTCTCTGAAATTTGTCTAAATTTAAAATTCTTATGTGCCAAAAAAATATTAACAATAATAATACAAATTGTAATCAAAACAAAAAATAATAATTTCTAGATTTTGTGAATATTCGATTTTTGGATTTTTTTACAGAATCTTTAGACTCATTTACTTTTAAGAAACTATTGTGTGTTAATAATTCTAAGAATCCTCTGTAAAAAT